TCTCATAAACCACACAGTCCTCATATATTTGCATATTTGTGAGTTTATTCCTCTATAACTTTTCAGTGACCACAAGCAATTTGGCTCTAGTATGTGTGAACACTTAAGTCCATTCTGTGACTTAAGTCCATTCTGTGAGTAATGGTTTGGAAAAAGAGAACTGGGCAATGGACGTGGCAAAGGGAAGAAAAATGAACCATAGAATACAGAGTTTGCAGTAAAGCCTTGGGAAGGAATAAGGACAGTGCTCTAGAGGTGACTGGGCTGTAATGATTTTTGGGAGGTGTGGGCTACTGGGATTTGTAGAAGAGTTGCTGGTGGACATGGATGGTATCAGAGACTAGTGGACACTGACAGATACATATATTCTAAATGGCTTATAACCAGTTGCCCTCAATTCCAACTCATGACGACTCAGTTGTGTGTCAGAGTAGAACAGTGCTCCATAGTGTTTTCATTGACTGATTTTTGAAGGCAATCGCCTTGCCTTCCAGGGCACCTCTGGCTGGACTCAAACCTCCGACCTTTCAGTTCGCAGCCGAATGCATGAACCATCTGCACCACCCGGGGATTCCATGTGGCTTATAAATATATGTAAATTCAGAAGAGCTTTGAGTACATATGTTAGAGAAGAAACACAGCCGGAGGACATGTGGTTTGGTGCTGGGGGTCAAAATAACAATGGTTGAGTTTAGGTTCAAATTCCTGTATTTAGGCCACTTAGCAAGCATTGTGACTTTGGGAAATTACTTTTCTAAGGCTCAGTTCTGTCATCTGGAAGATGAGCTCATAACAGTACTACCAAATATAAAGGATCTCTGGTAGCACAGTGCCTAAGGCATTTATTTGACTGCTAACCAGAAGGCTGGCAATTCAAGCCCACCAGCCACTCCTTGGAAAGAAGGCTGGGCAATTAGGATTAAGAAAATACTCTAAAGCACTTGTGGTTTATTCACAAGTTGCACCCGGTGAATATTAGTTCCTGCTGTTGGTAAGATTATTAATACAATATGCTTGTTTTTTGCAGTCAAACAAAATGAGCATACAGATACCTCAATCTCTATTTGGGAGAAAGGTGTAATACAGTACTTGCTATGTAGGAGCTCTGGTAGTGTAGTGCCTAAGGCATTTGACTGCTAACCAGAAGGCTGGCAGTTCAAACCCACCAGCGACTCCTCAGAAGGAAGGTTGGGCAATCTACTTCTGTAGTGATACCACCTCAGAAACCCAAGGAAGGGTCGCTATGAGTTGGGTCCGACTCCACAGCACATAACAACAACAAGAATTTTTCCTATATGGCAGGTAATGTTTGCTAATGTTACCTTTATTTAGAGTATGCTGTCTTGTGTTGTCACGTTGTAGTGAATGTAAAATGTTTCATAGAATTTCATAAGCATATTACTTATGTCCTTTCCCTAGCCTCTTTTTCACATGCAAGTCTAAGTTCCTTAGATTTTGCAGAATTTTACCTACAACGGAAGACCAACAGACCCTGGAGCTCCTTAATTCTGTTACCTAATTTAATAAATAAAACCCTGTTGTCATTGAGTAGATTCCCACCCACGCTGTTACAAATACAACTAATCCATAAGGTTTTCTTGGCGGTAATTTTTATAGAGGCAGATCACTGGGCCTTTCTTCTGCATGGCTGTTAGGTGGGTTCAAACAGCCACCTTTTTGGTAGATGAGAGCAAATCATTTCCACCACCCAGGAACCTCAATTTAATAAATACATTATAATAATTGTTAATACACTAATTTTGTTTATAATGCTTCTCAAGTACTTACATATTTTGTATATATTCTCCCTACTGTAAAGGGTTGCTAGGATTCAGAATCAACTTAAGGGCAGTGGAGTTTTTTACTGTAATGCATATCCTGTCTGTTTTCTTCTTCTTTGTATTAATAATTTTATGAAACAAAGATAAAGAGTTTGGTTAGCATCCTTTACTGTGTGCACGTGAGACATCAAAGATCACTTCCTGTGGCTCACCCTTCCTTGGCAGCTCAGTGAAGTGCCTCCCCATCCCTGTGCAGCTGTAAATCCAATACATTCTCTGCTATCACACTTCATACTTCTGACTGACTTGTATCTTCAAACAAATTGTGACCATTTCAACTTTGATGGTAAGGACCATGTCAGACATATGAGCAGGAGAGAGCAGCACTCAGTAAATAACGCAGTGGATTTATGTTAAGTGAGTGAATGAAGGCTGCCCCTTGCTCTTTCATCATTTTTCCATTGCTTAGACCATGATCAGAAGTGTACCAGTGACTGATTCAGTGATTCAATTAATTATCCAATTGAGAAGGCCTTAAGAAATAAGATTTAAAAGAAAAAGAAATGAAAACGAAACCTGTGTGGAGTAACTGTTTCTGAAGCTGTTTCCCTGCCCTTCCTCAAATACCAGAAGCCTTCCTCTGGTTGCCTGGTTAAAGAGCCCTCATGGCCTGACAGGCACTCAGCTGCTGACCAAAAGGTTGACAGTTCAAACCCACTCAGCGGCTCTGTGGGAGAAAGACCTGGTGATCTACTCCGATAAAGATTATAGCCCAGAAAACCCGCCTCTGTCACACACAGTCACCATGAGTCAAAATTCAACTGGATGGCATCTAACAACAACAAGTTGTCTGGTTACAAACTATTCAGCAACCTGCAGATTAAACAGAGCTCCTAACACAACTAGCTATCATTTAAGGCCCTGAATTCAGAGCTACAAACCTTACAAAGATCAACTCTTAAAGATACTGTAGGTGATGTTAGGGAAAGGAATCTTACAGATAGGAAAAATATTTACCCATGCATGTCTAATAAATGAGCATTCATCTCATTGTTCGCAAGAGCCTCAATTATGATACATAATTGTGCAGTAAGCAAATGATAGATACATATCAACATAGAAAACTGCCACCTGGGCCACCCAGCATACTGTGTCTTCCCAATGTGAGATCTGTTGTCTTCTTTACATATAACAAATAATCAGAAATAGGAAGAGTTAGCAGGTGCAACGGGAAGCAGCTTAAATGATTGGCCTGGCACCATCTGTAGCCTCAAAATAAATCATTTACTTCCCTTAGTGTGATGACTCTCCACCATAGGTTACAATTGGGCCTTAGAACCTTAACCCAGTATATTGCAGCCTTTCCTCTCCAAGAACCCCCAGAATCGCTGCCGTTGGCCAGTGTCCAAGAAGAAGGCTTGAACAGCTGCCCTGACAAGTGGGTTTCCCCCATTCCAGCTAGCAAATGGGGGAGTTTGAGCTGTTTTGCAATACTCTGCCTCTGGTTTACAGAAGCTATTCAAGATAATAAAGTATCCCACTCTGTGGCACTCTGTACTTTGGTTTTTGGAGATGTGTAAATATCTTTAGGATCCTTTTAAGGCAGGAGGTGAGAAATCATCCTTCTGAGGAGTTGGTTTCAGCTTTTCCTTTTTTCTGTTTTCTCTCTCTCAGACAGTAAGGATTGTATCCTGGAGCCACTTTCCCTGCCAGAAACTCCAGGTGGCACCACCACTTTAGAAGGTTCTCCATCTGTGCCTTGTATTTTCTGTGAAGAATGTTTTCCTGTGGCTGAACAAGACAAACTTCTGAAGCACATGATTATCGAGCATAAGATTGTCATAGCTGATGTCAAGTTGGTTGCTGATTTCCAAAGGTAAATTTCTTTTTCTGTCAATGAAGGAATTAAATTTGTGATTCTTTAGAGGAATGGCATAGTTTATATATAAAATAATTCCTACCCAAATATGAAAATTCATACTCTCTTTCAGATTCCTCCACAGACTTTCCTTTAAATCATTCCATTCTTTTCCTTGAGTGTGTAAGTTGTGTTTGAGAATGTCACATACTGACACATTTCCTCCAAATTCTGGGAACAGTGCAACTTGCAGTACCATAGATAATATTCCCTTTGCCACATTGTATTAGTGTTCAGATTGATGTTCTTTTCATGTTTCAGGCCAAAGGCTTTCTTCAATTGACTGAGTCCTTCCAACTATCTCAGAATAGGCTTGGTACCAACAGGCAATGTTTGGGAGTAGGGTCATTGGAGCCTTTCAAGACAAAATGCTATTTTTCAAACAGCTCTCAGTTTAAGTGTTGTAATGAGGTTGAAAAACAGACATAACTGAATCATTCAACAAACCTATGGGATATAAACGTACAGAGTTGTTGGTGTCAATGAGAGTGAGAAGAAGGGGTTTGAGGGGGAAGATGAAAGCTGGCAGAGGTGAGTGCTTGAGGAACTGCCAAAATTGGGCATGTGTGAAAAGTTCTTTTTGTGTAGAACCTGACCTATACAGCCAGGGCCTAAAGTGAGTTAGGCTCCAACTTATAAGCACCTGACTTAGAGTGATCCATACTGACAGACAAAGACAAGTAAAGTAACATAAGTAATTTTCCCTTCTTTCTACTCTGGAAGTGGTTGTTAAGAGAGAAACACCCTCTCTTAGGGAGCTGTAAGGGAAAAGTTGTGAGGATTTTTGTTTTCTTTATATTGAGATGTAATCCATACTGCAGACTGTATTCTTCAGTCTTCATCAGGAAGTGCTTCAAGTCATCCTCACTTCCAGCAAGCAAAGATGTGTCATACGCATGTCATAGGTTGTTAATGATTCTTCCTCCAATCCTGATGCCACTTTGTTCTTCATATAGTCCAGCTTCTCTGATTATTTGCTCACCATAGAGATTGAATAAGTGTGGTGAAAGGATACAACGCTGACTCACTCCCTTCTTGATTTTAAACCATGCAGTGTCCCTTTGCTCTGTTCAAATGACAGCCTCCTGGTCTATGTGCATACAGGTTCCTCATGAGTACAATTAAGTGTTCTGGAAT